AACAACAGCTTGAGTTTGATCCACGCAACTTCCCGAATAGACCACACATGGTATGGTCATAAAGGCGCGTTCTGGATCAAAATGTAGCCTTTAAATAGGTAGGTTTTAGTAAGCAATAGATCAAAAGGAGATAAATGACGCTACATTAAGAACTATAATAAAAAGATGCAGAGTAGACATCAATATTAATCTTCTTTATACCAAATATAGTTGATCTATTTACGACACATTTTGGATGACACCGAAAGATAGCAATACTCAAATGAAATCCACATTCTATATGAAGAATAGATGGCACATTACCAGAAGCCTCTGGTTGATTATCTAAATTTGGTGTAAACAAGGATATCAAATTAATTATTTGATCGATAAAATTTGTAAAAACGTTTGGATTGCTTGAACCACAGTGAAGGGAATTTCAAGAAAATTGGTGAATCAAACAAAAAACTAATATAATATATAAACTTGTTTCGAGCAATTTCCCTCGTGACATTGATCAAAAACCACGCGCCTAACGGCTCGCGATTTTTCTGTCAATGTCAGGCGCGACCTTGTCAAGCGACAAACTTTTTTAACAATCAATAAATTTTGTCGGCACAATTGTATATCGTATTATACAGGGTGTTTCAGGATTAACTGAAGAAGCTTAGAATCTGAATTCAAAACGTCAGAATAAGAAAAAAGTTGCCTATGGAGGTATGTCCGGAAACGCTTCGTTAAAGAGATACGCCCCTCCAAAGATGGAGGCTAAAATTAACTTAAATTTTGGAAGAAGATAAAAAACCGAATTTTGGCAGATATTTTTTACTGGTAGGAATGCTTCTAAAGGATATTTTTCAATCATCGATTATCGGTAAAATGGGGAAATCGGCAACCCCCTTTTATTTTTTTTATTCATTAATAGTCCCGAATTTTATCATGTAAAAATGTGCCTAGAAAAGCATGATTCATTTAAAAACTTTTTTTGGAACTGAGAGTCTTTGATTAAAAATATAAAATATTCTCGATCCACATGGTTATTTGGGAAATTGCATTATTTAATAAAATGGAAAATACCTAGTAGGCTAAAAAAATGTTGCTTAACATGAGCCCACAACGCGACGAAAGAAGATTATTTGACAGCAGCCTACTATGCATTATCCGTTTTATTAAATAATGCAATATCCCAAAAAACCATATGGATCGAGATATTTTATTTTTTTTATTCAAAAACTGTCAATTCTATGAAAAAATAAAAGTGATAAAAAGTTTCTAAATGATTCAAGTTTTTCAAGACACATGACAAAATTTGGGTCCATTAAAAAGTTCGATTAAAAAAATAAAATGGGTGTTGCTGATTTCACCCACTTTACCGATAAGGGATGATTGAAAAAATACCCCTTAGAAGCGTTCCTATCAGTAGAAAATCTCTACCAAAATTCATTTTTTATCTTTTCCAAATTTGTGAAAAAAATTTAAAACCTAATTTTAGCCTCCATCTTTGGATTTTAAGCTTGTCAAGTTAATCCTGAAACAACGAGTATATGAAAAAAAGAAAATTAATATTTAAATTAAAATGTAAACCTTCATATCGACTTTTACTTTTTCGTGTTGACAAAAATTACATTTTACTACAGTCGACAAAACTGGACAGATTACTCATTTACGTGGATTACTCTTCTGACGGGTTTTACATGGAACAAAACATGCTCATTGGAAATTTGCAAAATAATAAAACTAAAAAATTTAAACAATAATAATTGTAGTATAGAGTATCTTAATTTGAGAATTTTTAAAACACCCCTCCGCAGCTCCGGCTTTATGTGATAAAACAATATCATTTGACGCAAGTTTCTCTGATTTGTTTCAATTTCGTACTTAATAATGCCAAAATAGGCAATAAACAATATTGCATGAGTTTTCCCTCATTTAACCTTTCAGTCTGCTAGAGAAGCTCTTGATAATAATATACAGAGAACCGTAGTAATAGGCGGATGAAAGGGAATTCAGTTTAAGAACACTTTTCTCAAGTGAACATTTTCAAAATAATTATATTTTGAGATAAAAACACACAGGATGATTCCTAACGAAAATTGCCGCTGTGTAACTGGCATGAAGAGGAGATGGGGCAATAAATTGCTCCACTGAACAATATCAAGAAGAAATAGGTCACATACAGGTATTAGGTGTTTATTTAAGATATTAACAAAACATTAAAGATTTAGAAAGAATTGAATTGGATATATGATTTTAAAGACATACAAGATGTAACAAAACGTTATGCAAAAAAATAAATAATTAGTATCTTACGCTAACAATGTCCAACTCTTCGGAAACTTTATGTCGAAGAGAAATTTGTGTATAACAACGAACAAACAATTGGCGCTGTTGGTATAAAACAACTGACGGGAATTTCAGTTGATATCAATCGACATCAAGAAAATTATTTATTTAAATTAGCTATGATAACCTCAACTTCCTGAAACTGTAACTTCAAATGAAAAACGAAGAGTAATTTGGGCGTAATTAACAAAATGAGAATATCCTCTAAAAATTTCAATACTTCCAGTCGTTAAAGAACAAGTACTCTAGTGTCATAAGTGAATGTAGTAACTTCAGTAAATTGGCCCCATGCAAAAAATATAATTTTAGCATTTTTGGAATCTTTACATAATACAAAAAACAATATGTAAAGGATTTTTTAATTTTTTCCTTTACAAAAGTTAATCAACATTAAAGTAAATATTACATTACGTGCGCAAATACTGCTGGCCGGACAGATTGATACGTTGACGTCATCGGATAATAAGCATCGTAGTTGCTAGTGAACACAAAGTAGGCAAAGCAAGTTGCTAAATGTAAACAAGTGGTGTTATTTGTGTTGTGAAATTTTAAGTGAAACAATTAATTATAGTGATCAATTCGTCTAAATTATCTTCATCATATTACTAGTGCATCATAATGATGTGTGAAAATACTTCATTCAAAACGTCAGAAAAAGCTTTGTCGAAATTTCAACAAAGGAAAACGTAAAAAATTGTATTTAAAGATCGTTAAACGGGATCAAAAAGAGTTTTTGAAAACAAGTCGGGTTTTTGCATATGAGGACCATTTTGATGTGGGTAATTAAGAAAATAATAATATTAAAAATAAATAAACAAAGGCAATAAAAATAATATGCGTAAAGTACATGGCACGGTGACAAGAGGATTCTGGGTTTTGAACGATTTTTTTCACTTTTTACGTTATTTTGGAGCTTAAAGGAGATATTTTCCATCGTGGAATTTTATGTGAGCCTACTATGTGTGCTACTGAAAAATTATCGGACATAACAAAGTTGTCAATTATCCCTTTTGGGTGAGACTCATTTTTAGAAAAATGTTAATGTTTAAATGGATTTCAATCTCAAACAGTTTTTATTTGAAAACGATAGAGGGACGTCCAGAAATATTTTTTCTAAAAGTATTTATATGTATATGGTGTATACAAAATTCTTACACATATCTAACAAAGGCACCTTTAATTTTTTTATTAAAAAAAAACATTTAATTTTCAGTTTGGTGGCATCGTGGTCGAGTGCTAAGGACACTTGCCTCTCACCTTGGCTACCCAAAATTGGGAGGTCACACCCAAAATATAAAAGGGGCTCCAAAATTCAAAATTTTTTTCTTACTTTCCTTCTTTTCTGTTTGTTCGTTTTTGTAATCGGAATTCCCCACACATTTTTTTCCAGATTATAAGCAAACCATCAGTAAAGTACGGCACATTATTATTATACACAAAATATCTATTGATATAAGTTAAAATAAGCGGAGTTAGACATTTCCGCTCAAGTTCAGTATTGTTTAGAGGTAGGCTTTTAAAGAAGCAGTTTGGCTTACCATAATATCATCAAAATTCAAAATTTTTATACACCAATTTTATTTATATTTATATACTTTTGTTTTGCATTGTTTTAAAGTTTTACGTCGGCGGTTTCAAAGTTCATGTTTATATTATACAATTAAAAATGTTTTTTATATTTTCAGAAGTCGTATTTTGTTAAATAGGGATACAGGGGTTGTATTACCTGTGATGTCTAATTTAATTTTTAATTTAAGTATATAGATTTGGGGGTTTTGATTATAGTTATAAACAAAAATTTAGAAACCAGAAGGGCATTGGATGCGTAGTTGAAACACCTACCACTATTAGCCTTTTTAACACAAGAACTAATCAAATTTTTTTACAGAATTTAAATATCTTCAGCTGTTCACGATTTATAAGGAAAAATATAGTGTAACGTCAAACCCAAATTTAGTGAGTGTAAAACCATAACTTTTTTTTTTTTGTCATACATTTTCCGATAAAACTAGATTATGTATTAACATTTTAAAATTAAATAAAATATCATGTACAAATTTATATTTTTCGGTTGTTTGGGAATGTTTAATACGCGTTTACATTACAATACACATTTGCGTAGAAGACGTCACTGAGAACCGATACATCCGTCCGAGCTCTGGTTGCATCAATTTTTTGTGGGAAAACATCAAAAGAAACTCACCTGGACGCTCCTGTTGGATTCGAAAGAAACTTTTAAAGCCAAAATAAGTCTTTAAGTACTTATTACGCACACCGAGTTATAACAAAATCCTCATGCATTTCAGAGGTATAAGGAAAATCTTCTTTTTTTTTTTAAATCAGCACACTATGTCCGAAACGAAGCAATAAGGATAAAAATTCGTTTCAGCTTTTCGTCTCAATATAAGTTCAGGAATCATTTTCTGAATGTGTTCGTAAAAGCTGTCCTCCAACTTTACTAAAATTAAAAAAAGTAGAAGTCCTGTGATCTATGTATGTTATCTTAAATCTATCTAAATTATTTCAAATTTAAATATCATCACAGGTAATACAATCCCCTATATCCCTGGAAAGTAACTGAAGGTGCTTTGTGCAGTAGAGGGTTACATATTTAGAGACAATCGACATACTCAATATCCAAATATACAAGCATTCATTTATGCTTTAGAAAAAAATCCTAGCTCCTCGACCGGAAATCGAACCCAGTACTCCAAGATGAGAGGCAAGTGTTCTTACCGCTCGACCACGAAGCCACTAAAATTAAAAGTTATTTCTGAAAATAACTTTCATAGTTTTAAATTTTTAAACCTAATTTAACACGTCCCTAGAATTTTCATGAAAATCGGAGACCTTTTAAGCACACATGAAATTAAGACTGTTCGGGCTGAGTCCGGTACTGTACACAAATCAATCTATTCGGACCAAGTCCGGCACTGTCTCAACTCGGGATGCTGTCAGAGAAACATAACATTGCCTTCATGTGATTTGCTTGTGCAATATGAGGTATGGGTGACTTATTTTTGCGAAGTGAGCATTTTATATTCTTAACAAGATGCCTGGAGCTTCTGCTTTTTTATATTTAATTATTTTTTCTTACGATTGGAAATTGTAAGAACTTCATTTTCTTTTTCTTTGAGGGAAGTGCTATTACTGACATACATTTATGTCGTGAACTGTATATTGTGTTTTTAGTAATGGTATCAAGAAAATCTTTATTGAAAACGGTGTTTCGTTTTTTGAATACGTATAAGACATCAAAAATAAATGCCTACTTCCTCGTACTCTGCCAAATCCCAACCTCAAACTTCATGTTTTATAAAGTTGATAAGTGATGACAGTTTTTTTTATACCACCCTGTATAGAGAAAAGCAGTCAAAAGAATTGTCACAAGTTGAGTTCTATTCTCACGATTGAAGCATAACCATCAGTGTTGGTTTTTCTTATTCCCCTTATTTTATGTTTTTACTGACGTTCTGCTCATATATTTAAAAAAGTCACAAATTTTATGATTTTGCAACTTACGTTGAAATGAAACTATTGGGCTCTTACATATTCGTTTTCACAATCGAGAATTCGTGGGTTGGATACTGCCTTCTTATTGGAAAGTTCAAAATTGGAGTTGTAAATATTTAGAAGAAAGTATGTCAAGTAGGTGTATAAAACAGATTATAAAAAGAAGCACGAAAAAGATGATATATTGGGTACTTAAGACCTTGGATATTTTAACATCGTTTATATTTATCTGTCCTATGAGAATATATTTTGGCAAAAAAATAACGTATAGAAATAGTAAAAGGGTCACTTTTTTCTTGTAAATAGCAATAAATATTTATTAATTCAAAAACAGAACAATAGTGAAAGAAGGGCGGATATATATGTAATTATCATTACACTTGACTAAACTAATTGTGTCATGTGCAACGTTTTATGCTAAATCCAGTCATAGCCACGGTTATCGACCTATACTGTACTGAAATAAACAGTATGGATATGAACTGTACCATCTTGTTCTGAACTTATTTCTTTAGCATATATGGTAAAAGAAATAATTTTTGCTGCAAAAAATAAACAATGTTGTATACACCTCTTTTCAAAGCTTTTTTGGTTAATGGTGTCTTATTAATTAATTAACATAATTATATATATATATATATATATATATATCTATATATATATATATATATATATATATATATATATATATATCTATATATATATATATATATATATATATATATATATATATATATATATATATATATATATATATATATATATATATATATATATATATATATATATATATATATATATTCTTCGCGATAGCACCAGCACGTCTACCGGTAGAAGACATAATCTGTGGTGTAGAATCGGCCATTGGCAATTTAGATAAAAACATAGCGGAAACTATACGCCAGGACACGTCACGTATATTAAGAACAGCCCGTATACCAAAGAGGAATCTACAACACGAGGAATTAGAAGCACTGAAGACCTTACGACAAAATGAGGACATCATAATTTTACCCGCAGACAAAGGAAACGCAACAGTAATGATGAACAGCGACGATTATCATACAAAAATAGAAAGTCTACTAGGAGACACTGCATATCAGCTTATTACCACAGATCCTACTACTTACCTGGAGAAGACGACAAAAAGCCAAAATCAAAGCCAGTCCAATCGACAAAGAGACACAGAACCAGATCATCCCGCGAGAGAAGTCTTCAAGATGTCCCAAATTTTATGGTCTACCAAAGATTCACAAAGAAGGAGCTCCTCTAAGACCAATTGTTAGCTCAATAGGGTCACCCACACAGCAGTTAGCAAGACACTTAGCCAGACAACTACAACCGTTTGCCGAGGAAGTTAAATCCTACGTGAAAAATGCAGACCATTTCATTGAGTTATTAAGAAATCAGACCGTCCAAGCGGAACATCTTCTAGTGAGCTTCGATGTCATATCCTTGTTCACCAACGTACCCGTAGAGGAGTCACTCGACATTATCAAGCGAAAATATCATCCAGCAGATCATATTCTTAGGCTAACTCAACATTGCCTAAATAATACCTATTTTACATACAATGAGCAACGATACAGACAAACCGAAGGAGCCCCGATGGGCTCCCCCCTATCTCCAGTTATTGCCAATCTCTTTATGGAGGATTTAGAAACTCGAGCACTACAATCTGCACCATTAAAACCAAGCCTATGGCTAAGGTACGTCGACGACACATTTGTGATTTGGACTCATGGAAGAGAGAATCTCACTAACTTCTTAGAACATCTGAATAGTATTCACGACAAAATTAAGTTCACCATGGAGGTAGAGACTGACAGTCAGCTACCATTTCTCGACGTACTGGTCAAGAAGAAGCAGGACGGAAGTCTAGGCCACACAGTTTATAGAAAAGCCACTCACACTGACAGATACCTGAATGCACAGTCACACCACCATCCAGCACAACTAAACTCAGTAGTAAAGACATTAGTCACACGCTCGCAGAGACTAGCAGATGCAGACAACCTCAAAGAAGAAATGTCAACTCTTCACAACGCGCTGCGAAAGAATGGGTTCACACAACAAAGAATACAGAAGTTGTCAAAACCATCTCGGCCGAGAAATCAAGAGGACTCCGAACAACCCATAGCAAAAGCCTATCTGCCATACATAAAAGGAACAACGGATAAAATAAGCAAACTTCTACGTAAACATAAAATAGAAACAACTTTTAAGACCGACAAGAAAATCAGCACCATTCTTCGAAATCCAAAGACCAAAATTGCTCTAGAAAGTCAAGGGGTATATGAAATACCTTGCCAAGATTGCAACAAATCATACATAGGACAGACCAACAGAAAAATAAGTGCAAGACGCGAAGAACACATAAACGCTGTTAGAAAAGACGAGAGAACATCATCTTTAGCTCAACATGTCAAAACTACAGAACATAGGATTGATTTCGACAAAACAAAAACACTAGCCAATATCGAGCATTACAAGTCAAGAATCATCAAAGAGGCCATAGAAATAGAGAAAAGACCACACAATCTAAATACACGAGATGACACCCAAAGACTACCTACCACATGGAAGCCTGCTCTGGTATTGCATGCTGCTGTCCATGAGGAAGCAAGAAACATAACGCAACGAACACACGAAGAGGAATCAACCAGAGCTAATCTAATAGGACCAAGTACACGGAGTCGCGCTCGAAATCAGGAGATGGGTGCAACAGACCGTGACATAAGCACAGACACACGCATGCGCGTCCGAACAGGACCGATTACACGAAGCCGCGCTCGAAATCAGGAGATGGGTGCAGCAGACCATGACGCCCGGAGTGTGTCGAGAGCAACAGAGCGTAACATAGGTAGAGTATATAAAGAACTGCCAGATCCAGAAAACGTCATTTCAGTTCGAGTTACCAGAAGCCGCAGTAAGCAGTTATCTGTTAGAACCTGAAGATGGCAGATGAGATTCTGCCGAGGCGTCGTTCAGACAACCACGGTCCCTCTCGGGGCCTATCACCTACGCGGGAGTATACCCGGAAAACGAATTTAACATTCACCACCCGCGAAAACCTGAAAAACAAAAATATATATATATATATATATATATATATATATATATATATATATATATATATATATATATATATATATATATATATATATATATATATATATATATATATATATATATATATATATATATATATATATATATATATATATATATATATATATATATATATATATATATATATATATATATATATATATATATATATATATATATATATATATATATATATATATATATATATATATATATATATATATATATATATATATATATATATATATATATATATATATATATATATATATATATATATATATATATATATATATATATATATATATATATATATATATATATATATATATATATATATATATATATATATATATATATATATATATATATATATATATATATATATATATATATATATAGTGGTGAGAGGTATGAAACTTCTCATATGGTCTGAATGCTACTATCCGACCGACATCATAGATGTCTCTGTGGTGGATAGCGACTTGCATCACAGCAGTACCGAGAGCGGCGACCCTTAGACCTGCATTGAATTACACCTTCAAATCATGATAGATGGAGAGCCAATATCTATCATGATTTGAAGGTGTAATTCAATGCAGGTCGGGGTATTTGCCCGCTGAGTAGTTGTTTTCTTCAAATCATATTTAATAACATTAGTTTAGTCCACCTGGGTTAGGGGTCGCCGCTTTCGGTACTTGCTGTGATGCAAGTCGCTATCCGCCACAGAGACATCTAGAATGTCGGTCGGATAGTAGCATTCAGACCATATGAGAAGTTTCATCACCTTCTCACCACTATTCACTTCACCTTAGTTAGTATATAACTAGCAGGTTGGCCATTATTATTTGTCTGTTCCATAACCTATGGCATACTGAAGAGAACAAATAAGTTCGAAATGGATCTATGTCTGGTTAGGAATTGACAAATGATATTGGCTTGCCATCTATCATGATTTGAAGGTGTAATTCAATGCAGGTCGGGGTATTTGCCCGCTGAGTAGTTGTTTCCTTCAAATCATATTTATTAATATATATATATATATATATATATATATATATATATATATATATATATATATATATATATATATATATATATATATATATATATATATATATATATATAT